TGTACATCTATATCTCTCTCTATATATATATATATACAAATATATCTCCTATCTCATGTCAAGATAAATGTGGCTTATAGGTGAGCTATTTAAATTCCATTGATCTTCTGAAGGAAGGCAAGAGGAAAACAACCACAAATCTTATTTACTTTGAGTCAGTTTTACCTGATAGATATGATAATTTTATGTTCCCTTCACATCTTACTTTTCAGAGGCTTTGCACCATTATGCTTCTGGAAAGCACCATCCTCCAGAACAGAAAGGAGCAGGGTGAACCAGAGAAGGATATGTGCTGGGGTATGCATCCCACATGGTGGAAGATTTACACAATTCACCCCAACTCACTCCACTCATGCTCCTAGTGACCCATAATAGCCTGTGAAAAAGCCTTCTTCCTCTGGAGAAGGAGCACAACCAGAGGCCACAGGTGGCAGGAGTCACAACACCATTTGGCCTTCATCATGTTCCAAAAGACTAATTATAATGCAAAGGTATCTTTTCCTCTACTGTCAAACCTGGGGTGAGAATAAGGGCCCCTATATTCTTCTGGATTAAAAATGTCTATGCAATCTTACCAACCTGAGGATCTAACAAGGTGCCTAGCCAAGATTCAGGTTTTTTAGGCACTCCACCATGGTGAGACTCTGTCTAGCTTAACATTTAGTGGAAAAAAGTAACACCAGTTTGTCATCCAGGAGTTCATTTCAATTATGGAAGAAAAATCTTCCTATCCTGATATACTGATAAAATACCAATTTCTAGCTTTGTGGCTTCTCACTTACTGCCAAAACACCCACATCACATCACAATTCTTTCCCGCACACTCAGAAGTCTTACTCATGCATAGCTATTCCTATCTGTATGTTGCTTTGCCCAGACATTGGAGATATTCAGCTGAACAATAACTGTCTCCATATTACTGAGATGTTCTTGATGCCATGCCTACCCATTCTAACTCTTCCTGCATCTTTTTTGTCACCTGTAGTATCACAGGGTTAGGGAAAGACAAGTGTCAGCTCCTTTGCATCTAAGAGGTCTCCAGCAGTCCACAGTAAACAATTTTCAGCAATTGTTTAGGTGTGCTGGAGTTGTGTGATGCAACTCACTGAAGCAAGGCTCGGTTTCATAATGTCCTGACAATGATCATATCCTTGGTCCTGAACTGAACTTCCTCAGGAAACACATGGCCTGGCCTGCCTGCTGAGGTAGGGAGAGCAGGGAGTGGCCCTCCAAACCTTGCTCTAAGCCAGTTGACAGAGGCTGAGGGATACCATGGCCCAGTCCTGACTCAAGGGAACAGCTGTGACTCCAGCACGCCTCGTCCATGCATGGAATGCCCCAGAACAGTCCTCTTGTTGATGGCATAGACATTCTAAGTGCACACACCCAACAATACCATTTGGGATTTGGATCTTCCCTGTCCTGAGGCATCTGTCCAAATAAAAAGAGAGTGTTCAACCTTGTTTGTGGCATTGATAAAGCAGCCACAGTAACTGGGGTCCCAAGCCACACCTGTCGCTCACTGCTGGGCATAGCACAGTGTGGTAAAAGGCAGTGCAGAAGACTTAGTTAGGAGGGGAATGATGAGGCAAGCCTGGAAGAGACTTTGGAAAACTAAAGTGTGTGGCATGAGAACACTGCATTTTGAAAATAAAAAATCTAACCAAAGAAAGCATTATAAATTCAATTCAATTTAATGCATGATTCTATAATAAATGTGGCACAGAAAAATTTTGGCTGGCTGACAAAACTAGCGTTTACTCCATTTTTCCTCATCTTTGCGTAGCATAGCATGTAAGTTTCTATCTTCAACTTTGAAAGGATAAGTTGCCTAAGAACATTATCTGGTAATGTTAATAATGGATAACTGCAAGATTTAAGAAATTCTCGTGTCAGTAAGTATTCCACTTTAAGGGTGATTTATTGGTCCTATAATCTGCACTATAACATTTTGGCTACTAGACTGTAAACTTTAGCTATTATTGAGAACATTACTTATCCTGCACTGATATATTGATAAAATGACTAGCAATATTTTATCTCGTCTAAATGAGTCTCTCTGTGTCCTGGGGAAACAATCATACATAAACAATAAAGCATGGTGCCATGAAGGAAATTAAAAGTCAAATTTAAAAGGAAGTATCCTCATAATTGTCTACTAGTGTCTTTCAGAATTGACTCAAAGAACACCACTGGAACACCTCTAAACTCCCAGGGGACTTTTGCATGAAGACCTAGGAAAAGTGGACTTCAGCCTCCAACCCACATGCAACAAAAATTTTACTGAAAAATAAGGCTCACTAGTCATAGGCATTCATAGTACATGAATGCATATCAAATGCTGTTTCTTCCTATAGAATTATCAACCAAGTATAACTCTTTGGATATACTTCTTTCTCACACAAAGTATATTATAAATGGAAAAAATTACCAAGTTTTTTTTTTCAAAAGCACTAAACATACAACACCACACACACACACACACCCCCCTTTGATAAAACCAAACCCAGGATGAGAGCATTCTTGCATTATAAAGTTTGAGCTGCCCATATTGTATTAGCAATAAACTGTTGCTCTTATTGACCAAGATTTTATAGGTTAGAAAAAAAAAACAAGAAATGAAAAGAAATAAATATTAACACATTTCATTAAGAGCTGCTATTTCTAGGAAGACTATGGAAATATATTCACCTTAACTAGAGCTTTGAATGAAACAAGGGTAAATGCAGTTTGGAGGAGAAAAAATATTGGGTAAAGAAGATATTCAGTTGTAAGTCATATAGGGGGTTTGGTTTTATGGAATCAAGAATTAAAGATGAGAGATAATAAATTATGAGATGTGAGAGGCAGAATACAAAAGGCTACACAGTGAGTTATTACGTTTATATTTAGTATCCATAAAGATGGTAAATACTTTATAATTAACTAAGGACTGGGATGAAAGTGGAGAGCGGAGCATGAGGTTTTCTGTGGGGTGCACAACCTGTAAAGGTACACTACATTATACACTTAAAAGGTGTAATTTTGTGTTATGTGAATTATATCTCAATTTCTTAAAATTATTTTAAAATTATGAGGTCAAATGGCTAAATGCAGGACCTTGAAAAACACTGTGGACAGTGAAGAAAAAAAGAGTTGGAAAAAAAGACAATAGAAAGACAATAAATAGCTCTCTTCTTGAAGAGGTTGTTTTTTGCTGTTTGAACAAAGGAATCGAATCATATCTGATTTTTTTTATTCCTTCTGAAAAATTAGGTACAATACTATACAAAAAGAGTGCTTAAAGGAACATTCCACAATTGGCCAGGGAAGAAGTGAGGTGGATAGTATCATGAGCTGTCCCTGCAATGATTATAGAGACAACTGAAAACCATCCATCTGCTCTTTCCCTTTACTATCCCTGACTCATATGGCAACATTTTGTCCTTCTTAACTGATGTTACAATAGAACTTAATCATTTTGAGTCTGACCTTTTTTGTAGGTGCTACTGTATCTTATTATTTTTTTAAAGATTTATTTATTTATACAAGCACTGGGTATAGTCAGAAGCGCGGGAGGGTGAGAGAATTCACCAGAGCCAGAGTGGGAGAACAGAACAGGCAGACTGACGAAGTACACTGCTGAGGGGAGCAGCAGGTGGCAGGAAAGGTCTGTGCCGCCATGTGGGACCCTCGCCCAGCAGCCGGGGATTGAACCGGTGCTGCAGAGGCTGCAGGCAGCTTCACAACCCAGTGCTCAACCGCTGCGCCACCAGGGGAGGCCCTACTGTATCTTATTCTATTTCATTTCTTAGTTATTTCCCATCCTTAGTTATTTGCCACCCCTCATGCTTCTTTGGCCCTTTGTCCTTTTACTCTTAAGTCAGAAGCCTCATTTTGTTTATTAGTGTCCACTAGTTATTGCATGCGTCTTACTTTGTCAAATCGTCTGCTATGGAAATGTCCAACGTTTGTTTTTATCGTTCTGACTTGCTTTACTACACATGATTCCCTCTAACTCCTTCCATTTTGCCGTAAAAGGCAACATTTCATCTTCTCTTATGGTGGAATACTATTCCATTGTATAAATTTACCACATCTTCTTGATCCAATTCTCTATCACTGGCTCTTAGGTTGTGACCATATCCTAGTTATAGTACGTAATGCACTAAACATAGCCCTCCCTGGTGGCGCAAGGGGTTAAGTCTCAGCATTATGAAGCTATCACCAGCCTCTGCAGCATGAGTTCGATCCCCAGCCAGCCAGGGAGCTAACCCACATGGCACAGCAGACCTCTCCTGGCTGGCCCGCTGCTCCCCTCAGCAGTGTATTTCATTGGATCTGACTGTTCTGCTCCCCATGCTGGTGAATCCTCTCACCCCCGCACCTCTGGCCAGCACTCCAGTTCTTGTATGCATAAATAAATAAATCTTTATTTTATTTTTTTTGAGATTTATTTATTTTTATTTTATACAAGCATTGGGTACAGTCAGAAGCGCGGGAGGGTGAGAGAATTCACCAGAGTCAGCGCGGAGAGTAGAGGAGGCAGACTGACGAAGTACACTGCTGAGGGGAGCAGCGGGCGGCTGGAGGTCTGCGCGCCATGTGGGACCCTCCTCCGGTGGCCGGGGAGCAGCTGGGGATTGAACCGGCGCTGCAGAGGCTGTGGGCAGCTTCGCAACCCAGTACTCAACCGCTGCGCCACCGGGGAGGCCCAATAAATCTTTAAAATAAATAAATAAATGAAAAGCTCTTGTAGCCCAGATTTCCCACCTAGTGTCCTCATCCATTTAATGTGGATACAAAGAGCAAAGACTGACATGCTAATTAAGTATTAGCACCTGGAAAATGGAAACATCCCTGGGAAAGTGTCTAATATCTAGTTAGCACTCCAGAAATGTTAGCTATGGATATCATTTCATTACTCTTACTAGAATCCTTCACCTGAAATTGAAAGTGAAAAATATGCAAATATGGAGAAACACCATGGCTGAAAAACACACCCATTATACTATACATACCTGCAGCAATAAAGGAGCCTCCTCCAACTTTATAGAGAAGATGGCTGGCAAAGGGGGCGGCACAGATGATCAAAAAACTTGCGGTCACCACAGCTACTACTCCCAGAAGCATTAGCACTGCCCAGAAACCATGGTATACTGGAGACCCCAGGAGAAAAAGAGAAGAGACTGTGAGCAGGGCAGACAGTCACACAGTGAGTTTCTTTCCTCTTCTTTTTTAACATTTCAACCATAGCACCTCTAGCCACGATTCCAGCCTCAGTTCCTGAATTATCTCTAAAAGGAGACCTCACCAGGTGACTTTGGAATCAATGATGTTGGCCTTCAATCAACAGGTGTTTGGTATTTGTAGCACACGAATGCTTAATATACTGTGGAACTCATTTTTCTGACCATATTTTCCACCTTAGAAAAGGGAACACCTAGAGTTCTAGAAATAGCCTTTTTGAGTAAATGCCCACTTGGGTTACTTTTAGATTTTTCATACCAATGTACAAAAGTACTGCCTCTTATTTACAGCTAAGGTAATGTCTATACCACAGTGATTCTTAAGTGTTGATTATAACAATGGCAAACATTTAGCAAAGTATATAATTCAATGTAGATGTGACTCTTTGGAAAGTAGTCATAAGGTAATAAAAACAGTGAATAAAACAAAAAAAAATGTACAAACAGATTTTAAATCAGATAGAGTTAAGGCGTACAGCTTCCTATTAATATTTAGCACTACAATGATTCAAAATAAGAAGTTATATCAGTCTTTTGATCAAGGACCAGAAAGTCTGATTTCATGGATAAGTTGTTGATAAATGGATAGTAGATTTGATGAGTTACAGTAATCAAATAAAGGATTTTAATGAATGACCATTTTTGAGCAGGATAATTGCCAATGTATTAAACAAATTCATCATTTCCTAAAGGCTAAACCACTAAAATAAATTTCTATTGGTAGAAATAAAGGAAAAATCAGTAAAACATATTAGCCAAACTACAATTTGAAAGTAAAGAATGATTATTTTTTTCCTCAACAAACCTACCTGTCAAATAAAATCTATGTCAATCAACTAGAATCTTAAAGAGAGAAAAAGTGGATGGGAAGATGGAAAATTGAGTTAAGAAATCACTGTAGATGGGAAAGGAACTATGAAATTTCTAAACCTTGAAGCAAGGAATTAAAGGTAGACTTTTTCTACACATGCCAATGCTGTTCATTTGGCAAGAGCTTCTAGGTATTAGGAAAGTAGTCTGTGGTTGTAGGAGCAGAGCAGGAAAGAAGCGCTGATCCTTTTGTGTGTGACAAATCAGAGTGCAGACTGTGCACCAAATATTTGCCATCCTGCCCTACCAGAGCTTACTAGATATTGCTATTCTTACACTTTACATATTCCTTCTCTTTATGTTATTAACCCACAGCAGGTTTCGTGGCAAGCCTAATGGAAACACTATAAAAGGTGCAAACAGCAAAACGAAACAAAACAGAACAAAGCCATCCTTCTGGTTAGAGAAGCAGAAGGGACCCCTGCAGGCCAGAGTATGGGGGAAATCCCCTGATTTATTTCTTTCTTTTTATTCTCCCAGTCATGTCTCAAGGCCAACTTCAGGCCCTGCACTTCTCCCAGGGTAGACATGGGCATTTAAGATTCCAAAATATGAGCCAACCCTTTGGCTTGAAGATTAGAATAAAGGACTCCCATTACTCAGTGAATAGGAGAATCTGTTCCTTTTTTTTCTCTTTTCTCTGGCAACTTCGCACTGCAGCACAATCGCCTGGAACTGTGTTGAAACTCTGAAAGAACACTAACTTTCTAGCCAAAGAAACTGGAATTTCTTTAGGTTGTAGAAAAAACGACATCAAACTTTAGGAATGCAGGGGAATAAAGCAGAAATGGCAAATATCTATGTAAATATAGTAGACTCCTTTTCTCATCTTACTTTCTTAAAAATATCTTTGACTATTATTAAAGTAAAATATGCTCACATAATTGAGTAAAAAAATTGTTAGTTTGGAATTAAAGTGAGCTGAGTATTTATCACTTGCTATGTAATCTTATACTAGTTAAAGTTTCCTGAACCTCTATAACTTTTCTGAAAAAAGAGAAACATTTTTATATATCCTTTATAGCTATAAGAAGAATAATTAATAATGTATGTGAAGTGTGTGGCATGAACAAAGAATGACATTTATTTTGTGGTTGCATTTATTGCTGTTATTCTTAAATTGCATTAACAGTACACAGCAGGTGGCATTGTGTTCCATAATAGGAAAGTGAATTACTTCCCTCAGAGAGCCTTGCACACTGTTTTTTATGTACCACTAATATTTGGAAATCCTTTAGACTATAGCTTCGAGAGCAGTACAGATGTTGTATTTGGGAAAGAAGACTGCCGATATAGAAAGTTTTACAAAGTTTTCATATTATCTTCTATGGAAAGTTTCCTATCTACAAACCTCTGATAAGGCACTGGCCATGTTTTACACCAGGTGTCTCTGCCATAAATACCCAAAATATTGACAATGAGGTCAGGCACTTGGCACAAAGAGAGCCAAAACACGATGCTCTCCATCTAGGCCATGCCTTATAATCTACATTTTGAAAAGATGTGTTGGACTAATCTTTGAGAAGTGGAAAAGTGAGGAGATTAGTAGAACTGAAGCTCAGGGAAGCATTTGAAGTTGGGTGCAGAAGAGGCATGGTATTCCAAGGTCATGGTATTCCAAGGTCATGGTATTCCCAGGTCACATGTAAGCAAGAGGGCAAAAAGGATAAATCAGGCAATAGAGAAGGAAGAAAAGCAGGTTGGTCCTCCCACAGAGAGAAGCAGAGGTACTGTAGGAAAGAGAAGAAATGCCTGGTGAGGGGGAGAGAGAAAGAGAGTCAGACAGAAATGGGCAATAAAAGATCCAAAGAGCTGCTGTTGTTCCTGACAACTGCTAGTTACTGTCCTTCCATTGGCTCCAGCAAAGCAGCTTGGCTTTGATTCTGGGACCCATGTGAAATGCAGGAATAACAGATTTGTACTAAAGGGAAGAGGAACCTGGCTGCCTAGAGAGATTTGACCATATAGAAATAGCAAGAAGCGAGATTCCGTACTGCCGTCACCACGTGCTTTATTTTTCTGCCTGTGTTCAACATTCAAAAGTGCATAACTTCAAGCTTATTTCAAAATTTCTTGGAACTTCCAGTTTGTTAGCTAATTATATTACCTAGTTTACATATGCAACACATTTTGATTCCAAATTTAAAATGTTCAGTTGTCATGAAGAACCATCTTATGGAAGTGGGTAGAGTACTTCCACTATGAAGTAAAACGAAGGCAATGAGAATAAAGTGAAAAGTGAGCATGTTTTAAATAAGGGATCAGGAAAAAAACTAATTATAATAAAGTAAAAAGCAAAATCAACAAGTAACTATAAACCAGAGACACACTACAGGGAAGCGGGGGAGGGAATAGGATCAAAACAAGGGGGGTGGGAATTGTATGGGGACTATAACCACGATGAAAATGCATACATTGTGCAAAAATGAAAAATGATGTAAAAAATGTATAAAGGAAAAAAAAAGAATCCCACATGATAGCAGGAGCCCTCTGCTTACTAACCGTGTGACTGACAGACCTCAATTTTCTAATATGAAAAAAAAAATTCTTCCTATAAGTTTATAATATTGGATTGAGAAAATCTATGAAAACAATAAACACATGATCATTCAGGTATATTTAGTAGCAGTAGTAGTAGTAGTATACACTTTGTCAAAAAATGTTCTTGTCAACAATGCAGTTGACCCTTAAAAGATATGATTAATCTCATGGATTTAGGATGGGGACAAGCTTTCAGTTTCAATATATAACTAACTTGGAAATTTTGGTGGGGAAGATATTTTTGTTCGATTAGTGGTTTACAGTGTTTAAAATTTCTAGATTTTGAATATTTCTCAAAAAACTTAGTTTGCTTCCTTGTTCTTTATATGAGCCCTTAAAAACTACAGAGTTCTGTCTTTGAAGCGTGCCAAATGAAAACATCTCAAAAATCCAATGGTACCATTAAATATAACCTAATACTTAACCAATATTGAATGTCTATTAACGACATGTAGTTACATGTAATCTATATCACCACAACTTGGATTAATTAAAGGAAAGCTTCATTTCATCTGTGAAATGCCAGAATTAATGGCGATTTTCAAAGAAATGAAGTTCCGTTGATTCTCAATAAATTGCTGATTTAACCTACCAAGTGCTCTTTGGTCAGGTGGTGTTACATGGAAGATGACTAGTAATTAGTCTAACTACATAAATGGTTCTCCTAGAGTACTCACTTTATTTTCCTAAAGAGATAAAACTTGTTCCCTTGCATATTACCACTACCAGTTTATTTAATAACTTTGTTCCAGTAGATCTTGATTGAAAATCAGCAGCCCTGATTATACTGAATTATTATCTCAGTGTACTCCATGAAGGTATATCATTTTATATTTTTTACAATATTCTCACATACATACAGCACTTTCTAGTTTTCATTTGAAGATAACCCCATTATTTTTCAATAGAGAAAAGAGACACCAAGTCATTAGCAATTGTCTACTTTGTTAACTAAATGTATATCAGATATTCAAATCTATGTTCATATATCTCAGTTTTAGTCACAAAAAGTACATCACAAAAAAGTATTAATGGCACTTCATATTTAAATTTCAGAATTCAACATATATCAAAGCAGTTCATATCTAGAGTATTCCTCAAAAGTCAAATCCCTAAGTAGCATACTTGGAAAGTGTACAGAGTCATCTATAAAGAATCTTTTAGGGGGGAATATAAAAATCACCCAAAATTACAGGACAGAAAAGATCATTAAAAATAATGAGCTAGGACTTCCCTGGTGGTGCAAGGGGTTAAGCACAGCATTAGGAAGTGATCTGCAGCCTCTGAAGCACAAGTTCAATCCACCAGCCACCAGGCAGCTGCCCACATGGCGCATCAGACCTCTCCTGTCTCGGCCACTGCTCCTCTCAGCAGTGTGTTTTAGTAGATCTGCCTTTTCTGTTTCCCACTCTGTCTCTGGTGAATTCTCTTACCCCCCACACCTCTAGCCTGTGTCCCAGTTCTTGTATACATAAATAAATAAATGTATTAATTATACC